TCTCATAACCTTCTAAAGACTTTCTTGGTTATTATTAGGGGTGTAATCGAGTCGAGACGAGTCGAGTAGTGAGTTCGAGTACGAGTTCGATACAAAAAACCGAGCTCGATACTCGACTCGAGCTCGATCGAGTTTTGACCATCGAACTCGAGTTTAGCCTCGAATCAAGTATCGAGCTACTCGAGCTCGCCTCGACAAGTTCGATACTTAATTAAAAAATTCAAAAAAATTCATTTTCAGCTAAAATTCGAACTCGAACTCGAGCTCGACAAGTATATATAGGTAATTTTTTAATTAAATATATAATATTATGTATATATATATATATATATTTGTATCGAGTAGCTCGACGAGTATCGAATCAAGCATCATTGAGCTCGAGCTCGGCTCGACAATGACCTAGTCGAATTTGAATTTTTCTTTGAGTCGAGCTCGAGTAGCTTGCGAATAGTGTTGTATCACTTACACCCCTAGTTATTATATTATACTAGGTTTTTTACTTGCGCTTCTCTACGGGTTTAAATATTGAATAATTATATTTGTCCCTCCATTTTGTTCCACACAATGCTCTCTCCTGACGTGTCCATCACACGTTAGGCCACGTGTCTTCTCTTTTTTCTTTTTTCAATTTTTATTGTTTTTAGTAAGTTTAGCCCTAATTTCACTAAGTTTAGCCACAAATTAAAATTTTATTGTTATTTTACGGGTAAATTCCATAATTAATAATTTATTGTTATAGGGGTTTTAGAAATAAATATATAACTAATTCACTAAGTTTAGCCCAAATTAAAAGTAATAAGGGTTAGAAAAATTAAGATTTGTAAAGGGGTATGTTGGGACCAATAAAATAATAACATATGGTTTGACGTGTGATTAACACGTAAGAAAGTAAATTTGTTGTGTGACACTAGACGGGGCGCCTAGCATAACTCTTAAACATTTTTATGAAATCATTTATATCTATCTATGAAGTAGATATTGATTATTTATTGGTTTTCTTAAGGCTATAATGATCTTCATAAGGATTGAGATGTACATGATTTAAAAAAAAATTAAGGTCAGAGACAACTTCGTTTATAGTTTATACGGTTTAACATACAATATCATCAATATTTGGTGAGTAAGGGTTAAAGAAGAATTAAAGATTTTCAAAACATTTCAAGGTGTATATTATAAGGCTATATAAAATAAACACCCCTTTTATTACAGGAGTCTTGATCATTTGGAGTAAATGTAAGACAGTGAAAATTGCAGTGAAAGTTTGAAAGGAAAGAACTGTTGCGGGGTAAGGAAATCACAATTTAGATCAATATTGTAACTGTAAAATGAATGCACGAAGAGACCTTAAAAGACCCTCATGAGTTAATTAGAAATTAACAATAGTAAAGGACTAAATAGCATAAAGTAGAAAATATTTGTTGATGGAAATCTTGAGACATAAAAGTTTTCTTTGGAGCCCTTCATGAAACTCGTAGATCAAATTTAGTTTTCTGCTCCTTCATGAAAGTCGTAGATCATGCAATAACCTTTTAACTGACACTTGAATAACTTTAATCAGACTTTTTTTAAGGTAGAATTTTATTAAAGAAGAAGAGTTACAACCATGCAACCAAGTTTGATGATCTAGAAACACCAAACTTGGCCATAGAGTCCGCAAAATAATTACCTTCCCTAAAGATATAGACAATGGAAACATCACCAATAATGAACAACAAATTCGAAAGCCTATTAAAACGATAATTATACTTCCAAAGCCTACCATCGGGGTTTAAAATCCATGAGATCACTGTCTTTGAGTCGCTTTCAAGAATGAGCTTAAAAGAAGGAGAACCAGTTGCATCGACAATGAGAGAGAGTGTCTCAATAACTGCAAGAAGTTCTGCTTGATTAGAGTCGGCAAGGCCAATGCGTTTAGAGAAAAGCAAGATTGAAGAACCACACATCCAATACCAGCAAGTCTAGGTTTACCAAGAGAAGAACCATCCACATTGATTATCCAATGGTGCAAAGGAGGCAGCACCTAATAAACTTGTCTAACACTTCTAGCAGGCGAGGGAAGAAATGAAATTTCTTGAATGTTGATGAGGAAATTAATTATTGCAGAGTCAGCCATTGGGAACTTTACTTTTAACCACCATGCGAGCCTGATCCTAATGAGATCACAAATCTGGTCAATAGACACAAATTTCTTGTTGAAAACCAATTTATTACGAGCAAACCAGATCGACCATATGATACAAAAAAAAAGAGAGTTCTCCAGATGATCATCATTCAATTGTCACGTAACAAAGAATTCCAACATTAAAGGAAAAGGGTAGAAACATAGTGAGGCATGGTCCAAGAAATCTTCTACCATCCAGTACACTTACATTAAATATTCCATGCATAGGGGCAATGGCAGAAAAGATGGGAAATAGTTTCTTGTCTTAAACAACCTCTGTGATACAAGAGATCAATAACTGGAATTTTACTAATGAGCAATTTTCAATAGAAAATTTCCCCCGTGGGGGGGGGGGGGGTTGGAGAGAGTTGATACCTATGTGTTGGTCCACTTGATGTTCTAAAGGGGGGTGAATAACACTTAATGACAATTTTTGGGTTCTCTAAAATGTGTTAAAGACACTAGTTCAGAATGAGCCGTAAAAGACACTAATGAAAGGTAAAACTTAAACTGCAAATGAAGCAAGTGAAAGTATAAAGAAAATAAATAAAGACGTTAACAACTGAACAGTGGAAAGTAAATAGAGTTCGAAAGATAAAACTGGAACGATCGAAGAGAAGATGGAAGATTGAAGACGCTTCAATTTATAGAGGTTCGACCTTTCCCGCTTACGTCCTCTACCTTGGATACCACACACCAAGGATTTTAGAATCCAGTACTATCAGTGAAGTTAATATGGTCTTCACAACACCCTTTTACAATCGCAAAGCTTCAAACCCGAAGCTTCAACCACAAGTGCACAACTCGCACTTAACCAAACCAAAAACACAAAGTGTAAGAGAATGTAGAAACGATACTAAGAGATCAGTGTACACAAGTTTAGGCCTAATACACAAGTTGAAACCACTTTTGATGTTTTCAGACCTCTTTTCCTATTTTCTCCCTTTTCAATTAAGGAAAATGTTATCATGTTAATGTACCAACAAGATTGCACAATTTTGAAAAAGTTGTAATACTAATAAGATTTACCTCAACAAAAAACATTGAACCAAAAAGTTGGGCTCTCTTAATATCGAATGGGGAGATATGAGAGGGTCTTTGCGTTGGCGGTCAAGATCTTTGAGAAGGATGGAAACTGAATCCTTTTGTTGGAGACTCAGTTTACATATGGTTTATGTCACTGACTTTAGCAATAGGATTTCAAATAGGGATTTGAGAGAGTTGTTTAATGAATATGGAGTGGTCGTAGATGTTTTCTTGCCACAAAAGAGAATAGCGGATATTCTAGCTTCGCTTTTGTCAACTTTCGCTTTGAGGAGGAATTATTAAGGGCCGTTAATTTGGGGAACGGTAGGAGAGTTGAAGGCAGACCATTGTTGGTTCGTAAGGCTACGGTGCGAAAGCTTGACAGAGCACCATTGCAAAAGTTTGGTTCTAGACGAGATTTGGGCCCTGCAAAGTTAGAGAATTTTGTTTCCAGACAGAGTTTTTGGCCGAAAGCTCCCCAGGCTTTTAACAATAATAAGAGGAGAATTTTCGATGGCAGGAGGATTAATCATTATCCAGACAGAAACTTCAGGGGTCAAAAGAGGAGTCCAGATCGCTCTAGGGAGTTTCGTGTGGGGAAAACAGACATTATGCGAAATTTTTCTCAACAGTTTAAGGAAGATTCCTTTCGCAAAGTGAGTCTTTTTCCTGTTGCTAAATCGACTGAAGGGGGTTTAGGAGGTAGTCAACGGGTTGAGCAAGTTAATTCTGGCAAATTGTTTGACGTGGCTGAGGAAGAAACCAAGGATGTGTTGACTCCATATGTTTTTGATGATAACAAAACATTCTAAATTGGTGGGACTAACCGAGCTACCGTGTGTGCAGTGATAAAATGAGCTATATACTTAATGAATGGTTATGCAGAAACCAATCTTCATAAGCTCAAAATCACAGAAGAAGCATGTTATAATTGAAGCCATCACGAAAAGCATAAGTTAAGGAAGGCTGAAGAGAACTTAGCTCAGCACAAATCTGAAGTTAAGATTAGTGGGAATAATGCCAAAAGTAATAGATGCATATGAAGAACTGACATATCTAGAAGGCAGTCACTTGGAGCAAAATTAGTGCCAATAATTGTGGAGCACAACTTAGTGGGACTAATGAAGATCGACAGCTCAACAGACAGTCTTTGCCAGCTCCAGAAAAACACAAAATAACGACTAAAATATTCAAACGGCTACATCAACGGCTAGTTTTGACAGAGTTGTAATTAAGGCGAAAAATGACCGTTGGAAATCTTTTTTTTTTTAGCATTCAAGAAGCCTAAAGAAAGCATTACCTCTCAAGAATATCTCCCAAGCCATACATCACTCTATTCTTTTGTATTTGCTTGGTTTTTACAAGATTGTTCTTAATTCTTTCATTGTACATCTTGCCCAGAACTCACTTTGTGTATTTAGATCAACAAGGATCAGTTTACACACTTCAAACTTAGTTATCTTTCATTGTGGTTAAGTTCGGGGAGCACTTGTTTGAGCTTGGGTTAAGCTCGGTGTTGTTTCAAGCTTGGGTGAAGCATGGTTGCTGTAACGGCCTGGTGTAGACTCGTAACTTTCTCTGCTATCTCTGATAACTCTGCCTACATTCATTCATTTCCTCTGTCACATTCATTTTTTATTAAATTGAGTTGTTTTTTTGTCTGTCAGCCGATTAATTGCTTTAACTAGTTCCATCAGTCTATCTGGTCGCACTAACATTCTGTGCTGTAGAGAATAGCATTTATACTTGAAAGATTTTTGAAAAGTGGGCTATTCACCTCCTTTAGCACCACATTCGGGACCAACAAGATGTAATGAGGCTTGATGGAGGCTATAACTCCTGCGAGGAGGCTGATTTTGAAGTGTATATTCCAGATGATGAAATGAGCTGGTTGGAGCGTAATGTTGTTTTTCTTATCAATATGGATGGGAATCTGGCTGAGGTGATTATGGCTATTAAAGATCTCCAGTTACATGTGATAATTTGTGAGATGAGCAATGTCATGCTTCTTTTAATTATTGAAGATGATATGTCAGTCGAGGATTGTGTCATTTCGGTGAGGGAGCTTGGTTTGGATTGTTTTATTGAAGTGGCACCATGGGAAGTTTCTTTGGTTCAAAAATGTTCTACAGTTTGGGTAAGGTTGGAGGAGGTGCCTCTTGAACTATGGCATGAGAACTTTTTTTCTGCTATCGGTAATCTTAGGGGGAAGTTTGTTAGAACTGATGAAGCTACCATGGGCAGAAAGTCCTTCAAGCATGCTAGAATGCATTTAGTTATTTCAAGTCTTTTTGATATTCCTAAGATTTTTTCAGGGGAATCTTTGGGAGTCAAGTTCAAATTGTCGGTAACGGTGGAGAGAGATGATGGTGTGGTGGTGGAGAATGTTGTTTTTCCGGCACCGGTGACTCGTCCGTGCAATGTTCATGAGCTTACTGTTGAAAAGGTGGCTTTGGTTCCTAAGCTAGGAATTGATGAGGTGTCTAGTGGTATTGTGCTACATACAAAGGAAAGTTTTGGAACTCAAATTGGAAATGATGAGTGTCGTACTAAAATCTCGACTGATGAGATAATGGGGGAAAGTTTGAATTTTATTGGGAGAGAGTCCAGCAGGAAGGAATTAGCCCTTTATAGCCCTGTCGAGCAATTAAATGATGAAGAAGCTAATTTTGTTCCAAGTTCTTGTGATGAGTTTAACGTTTTTGATCCTGTAGGTGGTCATTTTTGTACATCAGATTCTAATTCTGATGTTAGTAGGTCCAATGCAGTTGTGAGAAGTGAAGGTGGGTTCGTTGTGGTAAGCCTCATAAGGCATGTTATTTTTTAGGTCAACGTTTTAAATGGGCCAAGTGTAGAGTTTGTGAGAAAAAGAAGAGGAAAAAATTGAAACGTGGAGTAACTTGGTTAATTTTGGGTGATAAAGCAATTGTTGAGCTTAATTTGGAGGTTCCTTGTCCGATGGCTGTTGACTCCAAGTGTTTTTTATGATAAGAAAACATTATGTATTAGTGAGACTAACCAAGCTATCTAGTGTGCAGTGACACACTTAAGGTATGGTTATGCGCAAACCAATTCACACAAAGCTCAATATCATAGAGGAAACACACTACGAATGAAGCCCTCCACAATGAGTACAAGTTAAGATGAGATTGAAGAAGACTTAGTCCAAGGCATAAATTAGAAACCATTTTAGTGGAACTAAAGTCAAATCAAGAGGATGCATATGAAGAACTGACATATCCAGAAGGAAGAACAGTTGGAGCAAATTTTAGTGCCACCAATTGGGGAGCACAATTTAGTGGAACTAAGGAAGATTGACAATGTCACCAGACAGTTTTTGCCAACGCTAGAAAACGACAAAATAACGGGATTTAATTCAAAACAGGCGCTCCAATGGCTAGTTTCAACAAATTCGTATTTAAGGCATAAAATGACCGGGATTTAATTCAAAACAGGAAGTAGTTTTGAGCATTCAAGAAGTCTAAGAAAAGCATTAACTCTCTAGAATCTCTCCCAAGCCGTAGATCACTCTATTCTTTTGTATTTGCTTGATTTTTGCAAGATTGTTCATAACTCTTTCTTTGTAAATCTTGCCTAGAGCTTACCTTGTGTAATTCGATCATCTAGGATCAGTTTACACACTTCAAACTTTGTTAATTTGGTTGTGATTGAGTGCGGGGAGCACTTGTTCAAGCTAGGGTTAAAACTCAGTGTTGATTCAAGCTTGGGGAAAGTTTGGTTGTTGTAAAGGCTTGGTGCAGCCCCGTAACTACATCGGATTAGTGGATTTGGTGGAAATCCTTGGTTGGAAGAGCCAAGGTAGAAGATGTAGGTTAAGGGGACCGAACCTCTATAAATCGTTTGTTAAGCTAAGCTTCTACTAATCCCTTTTAGTTAAACTGCCTTTATAGTCTTTATTGCATGCCATTCATTCTCTGCTACTCCCTCTGCCATCATTGTCAATTTTGTGCACTCTTACATTCATAAACTTTGTCATGCTCATTTATTGCACTCTTGATTTATTTCTGTCTTATTAGTAAATTTATTGCTCTCACTAGTTTCTTTGTTCTATCTGGTCGCACTAATATTCTGTGTTGCAGAAAGCACTTAACTTGATAAGAATTTTTGAAAGTGGGCTATTCAACCCCTCCCCCCCCCCCCTCTAGCACCACATTTGGGACCAACAATTGATAAACTGGACTAACATCCACAAGAGAGATCCAATATGGCTGTTGGAAGCTCTTCATAGAATGTTGCAAACACAATCCTAGAAGGCCAATCCACTTACAGACCTCCTCTGTTCGATGGGACTAATTATCAATGCTTGAAAAACAGAATGGTTGTCTACATGAAGGCCAAAGACTTCGAAATGCGGAAGGTGGTTGTTCAAGGTCCATTCATTCCCAAGGAAAAGAATGAGGATGGACAAGAAGTCCCAAAAGACTGGACAAATGGACTGCATATGACACTCGCAAAGTCCAAGTCAATTTCAAAGTTGTCAATACTATGCATTGTGCCTTAAATGCTTCTGAGTATAACAGAGTTGCCGGCTGTGAAACAGCCAAAGAAATCTGGGACAAATTGGGAAGTCACTCATGAAGGAACTTCTCAAGTGAAGGAATCCAAAATTAATTTGCTTACTCTCGACTATGAATCCTTCAAAATGAAACCTGATGAATCTATCACTGAAATGAATGATAGATTTGCGAGCATCACCAATCAGCTTAAGCAACTGGGAAAGGTATATTCATAGAGCGATATGGTGAAAAAATTGCTCAGAGCACTTCCAAAGTCTTGGAAGCCTAAAACTTCGGCTATTTGGGAATGTGGAAATCTAAACACCACCACACTGGATGACATATGTGGATCACTGCTCACATATGAAAGAGAATTAAAGCATGAAGAAGATCATGACAAGAAGAATACTAAAAAGAAAAAGGGGCTTGCTCTCAAAGTCTCTCCTCTAGAAGAAGAAACAAAGCAGTTGACCGTTGATGAGAGTGACACCTTTAATGATGACAATGGATCTGCAATGCTAGCTCGAAAATACAAGAGGCTAAAAAGCAGAAGGAACCAACTCATCAACAAGAGAGGCTACAGAAGAGATAGGTACAGAAATGAAAAGGACAGATTCAGAAATGACAAAGAAAGATACATGAATGATGATTACAGAGATAATCAACTTGCCTGCTTTGGTTGTGGGAAGTCTGGTCATATCAAAAGTGACTGTCCACACAACAAGAAGGAATCTCCAGGAAAGGATAAGAAGAAGAAAAGAGCAATGGTTGCTGGCACCTGGTTAGACAGTGATGTCTCAGATTCTGAAGCCATTGATGATGAACAAGGAGCCAAGGCCAACCTATGTCTTATGGCAGATGAAGAAAGCCTTGGGGTAAACCTTGATCTTTCTGATTTAACTGTTGATGAAATGCAAGATGATTATGAAAAGTTGTTTGAAGAATATGAACATGTTGTTGTTCTTTACGAATGTTTGAAGAAAAGAAATACTGAGATAATGCTTGATTTAGAATCTACTAAAAAAAATCTTGATAGCATGAGAGAAAAATATGATGCATTATTTGCTAATTTCGAACATGCTAAAGCTGGAAATGAGAAACTGTTGAAACAGTTGGAAGAAGTGAAAAATGAGAAAATTGTTGTCACTAACAACAACATGAAAATTGCTCTGACTAATAATAATCACAACAAAAGGCACTTTAGGCCTAGAGCTATGACTTGTTATACTTGTGGCTGAAAGGGTCACCAATCCCCTGAATGTTATCAGAGAATGGGTATCCTTCCCGAACTAAGTTAGTTTGGGTGCCTAAAGGTATATATGTTGTTGCTAACCCCCAAGGACCCATCAAAGTATGGGTACCTAAAACAACAAACTGAAAGTGTGTGTGTGTGTGTGTGTGTGTGCAGGTTGAGCAAGAGCAATAAAACTACTGTTTGAAGGCTCAACCGAAGGAAAAACATCCCTGGTACTTGGACAGTGGTTGTTCTAGACACATGACAGGAGAGAAAAAGATGTTCAAAGAACTTAAGATGAAGAATGGAGGAAATATCACCTTTGGTGACAATTTTAAAGGAAAATTACAAGGAAGATGAACTGTTGGGAAAGGCTCTGCTCAGATCACTCATGTCTGCTTTGTGAAAGGATTGAAAAACAACCTTCTAAGCATTAGTCAACTTTGTGAAAAAGGACACAGAGTATGCTTTGACTCTCACCTATGCCAAGTATTTGACATCAAAACAGACAAGCTCAGATTTGTTGGTAAGAGGCACAGTAATGTATATGTTATCTTTCTTGATGATTTAGTCTTGGGAGATAATATATGTTTGATGGCTAACAATGCTTCTGATAGCTGGTTATGGCATAAAAGATTAGGTCACGCTAGTATCAATACCATTTCCAAGTTGGTGAGAAAAGACCTAGCTAGTCACAGGCCTATCCAAACTGAAATTTGACAATGACAGAGTATGTGAAGCATGTCAGTTTGGAAAGAAAGTCAGAAGTTCATTCAAGTCAAAGAATGTTGTCTCAACCTCAAGACCACTTGAGCTTCTTCACATGGACCTATTTGGTCCTATTGATGTGATGGGTATGGGAGGTAAATCCTATGGCTTTGTGATTGTTGATGATTACTCTAGATACACGAATTTATTTTCTCAGTCATAAAGATGAAGCTTTAGAAGTATTTGCTAAACACTGTAAGATTGTTCAGAATGAAAAAAAGGCTACAACATTAATGGCATTAGAAGTGATCATGGTGGTGAGTTCATAAGCCATGATTTTGAAAGCTTTTGTATTGAAAATGGTGTTTCTCACAATTTCTCTGCTCCTAGAACCCTACAACAGAATGGTGTGGTGGAACGAAAGAACAGAACACTAAAAGACATGGTCAGAACTATGATTTGTGAAAACAATTTACCAAAATATTTTTGGGCTGAGGCCACTCAAACTGCAGCTTATATTTTGGGTTGAATGATGGATGGCAAAGGTGTGGGTGTTGGCTCCAAACTGATATAGGAAACTGACGCTTTTTCTTTAATAGCAAGTAGTGTCTCCAAATCTCTGATGGTTTCTGCTACATCTTCAGGCGTCAGGATTTCTGCTTCGTTGATGTCTTCTTCATCCAGGCTCTTTGTAAAGACTAATTCGAGTTCATCTTCATTGTGCAATGTTTGAACTTGTTCAGCACAAACATCAATTGCATCAATAGAATAGATAGAATGTATCTCAGCAGGAGCTTTCATGGCTTCATAAATATTAAATTTAATGATTTCCCCATTAAATTCCATGTCGAGTCTTCCATCTTGGACTTTAAACTTTGTTCTGGGTATGGACAAAAGAGGCCTTCTTAGCAGTAACGACATATGAGGAAGATGAAGGTCATATTCACTCATATTCAAGACATAGAAATGTGCAGGAAAAACAAAATATCCTATTTGCACTAACACATCCTCAACTAAACCTTCAGGTTTAATGTTAATTCTATCAGCAAATTGGATAGTAAGAACAGTTTTAAGCATAGGTTCTATTTTCAATTATGAATAAATAGAAAAAGGCATAATGTTAATTGGAGATCCAAATTCATACATGGCATTTTCTATCTTATTCTTTACTAGTTTACAAGGAATAGAAAAAGATCCTAAATTCTTACATTTATGATGCAATTTTCTTTGATAAGCAGCAGATATATTCTCATTCATGCAAGCAAATTTTTCAGAATACTTACTCTTATTAGTGCATAATTCCTTGAGAAAAGAAGCGTACCTGGGTACCCTTGCGATTTCAGCAAGCAAAGGAATATTTACCTCTAG